CAACATAATATCCCAGCTCTAGAATGTATATCATAGAGGAATAGAGTCAAAGAAATGGAGAAAATAAGAAAAATACAATTACCGGAAGCTGAAATAAAGTCTACAAGAGAATGTCATTTATCTAAAAATCTTTAAACCACCATCATGACAAGGAAAATAAGAATATTATTGAAAGATCTTCATCAGTAACATCATAATCCAGCAAGGTACCCATTACTCCTTGGTATTAAGCTGCAACAGCATGTAAAATTTGGAGACATTAGACAAGTTTTCCTTTCATAAAATAAAATAGCACAAAAAGTAAGAGATATTGGTATTTGGTACTTTGCGTCTTTGCCACATAAAATAAATATTATTTTATTATTTTATTTTAATAAATTAAATAGGTCAGCCTACAAGGCTGTAGGCCGGGCTTGACAAAATTAGCCTATGGCCTATTTGTTAAAAAAACTTTTTTATAAGCCTAAGCCTACTCTATTTTTCTGAAAGGCCGGGCCTAGGCTGGACTCAATGTAGGCCGGGCCGTAGGCTGGGTTGGGCCAGCCTGGCCCATTTACACCCCTACATACTATTTATCTAAGCCCTCGATTTTTATCATGTGATTAATTGTAGATTGCTTTGAATTTTGCAATACATGTGTGAATAGTGTCAATTTATATTTGTTCGGATGTGAACTTCAACGTCTAGCAAAGGAGTTGGTAATTGTATCTATGGAACTTATGGTAGAGATGATTGACAATGAGGAGTCCAATACATCTAGTCAAAGTGTGATGGAAACACTAAAAGGTAGGGGTGTTCATCAACCGATCTAATCCGATTCAAAAAGCGGTGACCGAATCGAAAAACCGATAACCGAATAAATCGAAAACCGAAAAATCAAAAAATGAAAAAAAACCGCAAATTTTAATTGGATTGAATCGGTTTTTGGATGGGTCGATGAAAACTGATCCAATCCAAACCGATCCAATATATTAATTTCCCTCTACCTACTTGGGTCTTTCCCCAATCATAGCCTTTATAAACCCAAAACCCATTAACCCATCAACTAAACCCAAGAAAAAATCTAGTAACATCTCATGAACAAAATTTTATCTTTGTAGAGCTTCATATCTCATTGCCCAAAAAAAAAACTATATTATAATTTACTAATGCTTTTGTATTTCAAAAAAAGAAAAGAATTACAAAGTCAATATACAAAAGATGTTATATGCACAAAAATCATGAAATGAATTTTAGGATTTTCAAAAAACCAAAAACCGATCCAATCCAATCCAAACCGAAAAAAAATGGATTGGATCGGATTTGAAAAAAATTTCCAAACCGAATGGATGATTATATGATCAAACCGAAGGGATTGGATCAGATGATTTTTGCTTCCAAAACTGATCCAATCCAAACCGCGAACACCCCTACTAAAAGGGGTGTGTGTATTCTTGGAGATGGTGAGAGCTCTTAGGGCTTAAGGGTACCCTTAAATACAACATGGATAAGATGTAAGATGTTCCCTTGTGGAACACTGTTTATATATATATATATATATATATATATATATATATATATATATATATGGGAAAAACAAGTATTATGTTGTAGGAAAATTCTTAGGTCATGTCATAGAGACAATCAATTAAGGGGGCCATTATTTTTAAAATAAAAGAAAAGTAAAAGAATTGATGGGCCCACTTTTATGTGTCTGTAGGAAAATTGATTGTGTCATGTGAAAGGAGGAAAACATTACCCTATATATGTATATATATATATATATATATATATATATATATATATATATATATATTAGTATGAAATATTTTAGAGTTATTTTCTGTAAAAATTCAATTCAACCAAAAATCATAAGGTGTTGGGTGAGGGCTTTTTTAATGGTTTTATATATCTCTGACACGCCTCCTCACACGAGAGCCCACTGAGCTCGAAGAGTGGACAATACATAAACCCACATTCCTGTGCTAAGGAATTCCACAAGAGAAAGTGGGGGACAGTGAGAATCTATCCCGTGACACTGAAGCTCTGATTCCATGTAAAGAACTAATTTAACCCAAAACCTTAAGGTGTTGGATGAGGGCCTTTTTAATGGTTTTATATTATTCTCTAATATTTTCCACGAGAATGGATGCCCTCATGTCTGTTTTTAACATGACTAAGTCATGTGAAAAATCTTAGTTATTCATTAACAGATCAGTGGTCACAGAGTTATTATAAAAGCTTATAAAATAAAGAAGAGGATATGATCATTTTAATTGATCTATCTATGAATGAATGAGATTTTCATATTACATGGTCATGTTAAATAGAAACATTAGAGGATTTGTTCTCATTTATCATTGTGTCTTTAAATCTTATAGTTTGATACTGTTAGAATATTAGATATGATATGATTAGATATTATTAGATATGATTGGATTCCGTCTTATCCGTAAATATTCTGATTGTATTAGGATTAGGTTTGGGCCTTTCACTTAAGCCCATTAGGGTCTCTATATATTGTAACTCTCTGACACAGATCAATACACAACATATTCTTTTACATTTAATTTGGTACCAGAGCTATTTCGTTCTGGGAACCCTCGCTTCCGCTTAGAAATCTTGTTTTTCGCTTTAAAACCTAAGCCCACTGCTTAGGAGTCATCTTTTTTTTTGCCGTGCGTCCTTCCGGAAAGCCATCAAGGACTGTAAGTCCTCTCCAGGCATCTTCTGCATGTGTCCACATCCCCAAACAGTCACCGGAGCCACCATCAGCCACCGTCAGCCACTGTTCAGGCTGCCGGAGTACTTTTCCGGCGAGATTTCAGTCTGGAACGAACGCGAGCAGCATCCTCTCCTCCCGGCGACCTGCTCTGTGGAAGTCCGACAACCATCGGAGTTGTCACGCGCTCTCACGCGCCTCCTGTCTTCTCTGCGCGTGGGCTTCACGCGCCACCTTCTGCAGGCGCGTGAGCACTATTCCGGCGGCTTTTTTCGGCCGGTCTTGGACAAAGAAGCTCGTCTTCTCCTCCTCTTTCTGGATCTGTGGTTGGTTCTTTGTGGGTCTGACTGTTTTGTGCGCACCTCTTCTTGATTGGTGATCAGGTTCGTTTCTCTTTATTCGGTTTATATCTTTGTGATTTAATACTATGGCAGCAAACTCTCCAATTCATTCGGAGGTCAATTCTCCATCTCCTCCTGTGAGAAATTCTCCCAATATCATCTCTACCAATATTGGGTCTATTACCTCTTCAAAATTGAAGGGATCTGTTAATTACAAGAACTGGGCCACCTCTGTTCAAGTTTGGTTCTCCGGACAAGGATATGGGAACCATCTCACGACTAAGTCTACTGATGTCCCTAAGGAGGACAAGTCTGATTGGGAAAAGATTGACAACCAGCTTCTGAGTATCCTCTGGCAATCCATTAATCCAATCATATCTAATAATATCTAATCATATCTAATCATATCTAATATTCTAACAGATACAATATTTTATTAATGGTTTGAATTGCAATTTAATAACCTTATTTTTAGACGAAATATAATCGAAAGCCCCTAGTGGAAGTGTTTAGTATCCATAGTCTCAATATCTTGATTTGTTTTTTTTTGTTTTTTTTATATATTCTTTTTTGCATTTCTAGTTTTCTTTTGCACCATTCCATCACATATATGGAGTCGTTTATAATTCTTACAACTATGCATCTAGCCTATTAGCTTCATTGTTCATTTTTTCGCATCAAATATATTTTTGGATGTAAAAATAGGACTATGATGGCAAACCTTAAAGCAAAGGTAAGACTCCTTATTATTGGAAGGTCACATGTTTGAGTCTAGGAAAGAACCCATTTGCAAAAATGTCTACGAAAAATCCACCCTCTATCCTCGAAAGTCGAGGAGCCTTGTACATCGAGGTTTGTCCTTTTTACAGAGGGTGAGCCTTGTCGGAAGGTCAATAGTTCGTGTCTGGGAAACAATCTCTTTGCAAAAATACAAAGGTAAGGCTACGTAAAATCAACCCTCACTCCGACCTTCACAAGTCGGGGAGCATTGTGCATGGCGATTTAGACCATTCACCAAGGGGAGGACTGGGCTTGGAGCAGTAGTAAGATTGCTCCTTGTTAGCAAAAAGTTATAGGTTCGAGTCTGGGAAATAGCCTGTTTGCAAAAATACAAGGTTAAGCCTACGTACATTAGACCCTCACCCCTATTCTTGTAACTGGGGAGCCATATGCACCGAGATTGAGCCTTGTGACATTATTAAGGACACTTAGGACCCTGAATCAACAAAATAATTATGTTTGCATTGGAATGGTTTTGTAAAAAATTAGTTGCCCAACCCTATTTGAATTTGATGCATTAAATGAGAAATTAAAAATGATAGGTTATTTGTAGATAGTGGTAGCAAATTGATTGTAATGTCTATTAAAGGTGTCTCTAGATGGGGTTTATGCTAGAACCCACCATCAATCTTTTGAGGTACTTGGGTAAATAATATTTGTAGTTAAGTTACCCATACATGCAAGATATCATTTGAATTGGATCTCTATAATGAGGGTGTCTATTGTGTTACCATACTTGTATGTTCCCCCATTTTGTTATGTCATCATTGGTTGTGTTAAAAAGTTCACTTTCCCACTTGTTGATTCCCATATATCTATAATCGTTGTTAATTTTGTCCTAATTTTCTGACCAAATTAATAATCTTTTATATTGTAATGTTATAGATGCCTTTAATTATTAATTCCAGATAGTGAGATTATCTTTATTTGAATGTTGGTGAATTCTTGGTTATGAGAATCTCAAGGTTCTTGATTCTTTCTTAGTAAAAATTAGGATTCTTATCTTAGATTAGTACTTGAACAACATTAGCAGTATAAATGGATCAATGGTTTGTGTGTAATAAGCACATTAATCATATATAGTTATATTCAGAGGTCTCTCATTCATTTATTTCTTCCATATTTATTCAATAATTTCAATACACTCTCTAATGTGAGCTGATCTTCTCTCAGTTACTATGGCGGTGAATACTTTGTCCACAAGAGGAACAACTAGCCAGGGAAAAGTTGTTTTTGGGTCGTTTGATGATAGAGATACGTTGATATGGTTGAAAGACCTTGCGTTGGAACCTTGCAACAAGAAGTCATCCCATCAAGGTCATTGTAATCAAATGCTGAAAGTTTGCAAGTTTATGAATGCCGGTGCTAAAAGTCCCCAGGTAAAGTGTCAAGAACTAAGTACACCTTTAAAATCTTATACTACTGAACTGAGGTTCATCAATAGTTTTATGTCTTTGACATGCCTTTTCATTTTTAGAAGAAGAGAAAATTCAACCAGTATATGAATAATGCTAAATTCAGTGCTAGCAAAGAAAAGGAAACCAATCAGCCACACAAGAAGTTCTTACCTTCCAGGGGTAATAATCTTCCAAGACTAGTAATTCCCATTGGACCTAGGTTTCAAGCCAAAGTTCCAAAGTGGGAAGGAAAAACCAACATAAGACGTCATAATAGCAATGATGATTTGAAGTGGTTGGGCACCCAAATTTGGCCAATGTCTGATTTTACTGAAACCAATACAAATGGTAGTTGGAAAGGTAGGCCTGACTCATGCTACTATGACTTTCCTAGATCACTTGATTGTGTTCAACAACACGTTGAAGCAAAAGAACTGCTAAAATCAAAGATTGGTACAACTTGCTCAAGTTTGAAGTTTGATGAGATGGGAGAAGATGTCTCGAATTCATGGACATTGGAAGACCAGAAGAAATTTGAATCCCTACTAAAATTGAATTCGCCATCAAATACACAAATTTTTGGAAGCTTGCCATGGAGCACTTTCCATCCAAATCTCTGAAGAACGTGGTAAGTAGGGGTGATAATAAGGCCAGGGGCCTTAGGCCCGGCCCGTTTCGGCTCGGCTCGGCTCGTCTTTTTTTATTATTAAGCCCAGACTTATACTCATGCAAAAACCTTTTTATTTAAAAGGCCTCAGGCTTCCATAGCCAAGCCCGGCCTTAAATGTTAGTATTTGGGTGTCCTAGAGACAATCTTATGATTAAATAAGGACAGAGATGTAGACCTTTTTAATATTGTCGCAAATAAATAAAAGCACTCTTTATCTTGTTTCATAATTATGTCTTGATATTAATATTAATATATTATGAATAACTTGATAAACCCCGTGGAATAAAATAGGTATCTCTTGAGTATCTGTGATGAGATCACAATCATGAGGATTCAAGAATACCGGATGTTTATTCCTAATTTTATGTTCCTAGTCTAGAGATACTGAGAATGAGGTCAGTAATCTCGGGTAAGACTAGCACGACTTATCTATTTGTATATGGATACAAGGTATAGACCTCATGTGCTACAGATATGGAGATGTCTTAGCTAAAGTCGTGGGTGGACCTATAAGGGTATAGCTCGCACTGAACGGACCCACAAAGAGACTCTACGAGGAACTCTCACAGAGAGTATCATTAGAGTAGTCTCTTTATATTTGGGTATGTCTTTCCTAAGACCAGAAGTTATTACCTAGACTGTGTTCTAGAAGGCATGCTTTGATTGTGCACCTCGTCTGCCTGAAAAATGGAGACTCATAGGTATACTGTTGGGCTTGTCCTGAAAGAACACGGGGCTAGGGTGATAAGCTGAAGAAATTCGTCAAATCTCTGTGAGAGATTAGGTTATCTGTAAACCGGAGAAATCGGGATGACATTTACAGGGACTCGGGAACCTATGCATAGTAAAAGAGATCATGAGATGATCTGCCTTTAGAGTCTGTAAATTGAAGATTCCCTATTTCGAATAAAGCTTACCCTAAACCGCAGGGGTTGATACGCTTCCTTACCCTAGGTTTTATGGGAAGGTAACCAAGACGAAAGGAAATATATACGGCAACCAAATATGTTTAATAGGATGATCAAATCATTAATCTAACTAGTTCTGGGGAAACAAAGCATTGCTAGTGCTCTGTGTTGTCATTAGATGGGTTGTGGGCTTATTGGGCCCAAGCCCATTTATGTCAGTGGCTAAGTTGGACCTAATGGGTCACACATAAACACCTAATTGTCTAGATGCTCTAGTATTAAAGGTATTGGGCCTAATAATAGTTATTAGCCCAAGAAGTTGTTTGGAACTCCACCTAAAGGGGTGGAGGGCGCATGGTTCATTGTAATGGGCTTGGATAGTCCAAGACATTATTAATTAATTTAATTAGTTAAATTAATTATCAAACATTTAAATTTTGAATTTTGAAATTCGAAATTTGAATTTTGAAATTTTGAATTTTGAATTTTGAATTTGAATTTCGAATTTCGAATTTGAAATTTGAAATTTGAAATTTGAATTTTGAAATTTGGATTTTGAATTCGAATTTTGAAATTTGAATTTTGAAATTTGAAAATTTGAATTTTGAAATTTGAAAATTTGAATTTTGAATTTGAATGTTTGAACATTTGAATTTGAACATTTGAATGTTTGAATTCAAATATTTGAATTTGAATTTGAATTTGAATTGCCTGTGAAAGGTTGTTTCATAACAAAAGGATAAGATGAGATATTGTTGGAACAAATCACTAGTATCATGAGAGAATCTCACTAGTATCATGAGAGAATCTTTTGGACAAGATCCAAGGCCATATATGGCGCTGATTTGGGTTGTTGGTGAGCAAGATTTGCTCATCAAAATCAGCTCCAGAAGATTCAGTCAGTTGGGAGAAAATCTGAGTGAGTTGATTCAAATTTGAATGCAACTACTCAGATGTATCTGGTCACCTTTTTGGGCTATATGGGGCGCACCATATAGCTGATCTTATGAAGATTTCTGATCAGAATTTTGAATAGGTTTTGAACCAATTCTCAAGAGAATATTCTAGGAGACTGTTAGCAATTTTTGAAATAAAACAGCTCCACTTCTCTCTCTCCAATCTGGCGCCTAATGATCAGATTTTTAGGAGAAAAATTTGATTGGTATTTTATTTTAAATACTCTCCTCTTATGCACCTATGTGGTAGTTGTTCCTCCAAGGGTTTTTCTGAAAACCTAGCCTATTCTCTCCTCTCTCCTGCGCCACTTGTGAAGCTTTCACATTGAGAGCTTCACTTTTTCAAACACTTTCACCTAGCCTCCATCTTCACACATAGAGCGCCTAGCAAGCCTCTTTGTGGTGATCATCCGGTGGCTTCACAAGAAGGAGTTCTTGCACCTAGGCGAGTGGGTGGTGTGGATCAACGTTAGAGGGTCTGAACCCTTCAGACCGGCCTTGATCATCTAGTGATTTCACGAACAAGGTAACATCATGCTTTCCTAAAGCATGATCTTGATGTGCATGTATATTCCGCAAAGAAAAATTTTGTTTTTCCCTCTTGCATGCATCGGCCTTCAAGGCCATTTCGAACTTTCATTGAAGCCTTGGAGGCTGGCCCGTATACATTAAATTTATTTATTTTTATATTTTTATATTAATCATTTCAACATCCTTTTCTCAGTTTTCTTTCTCTACTCTATCTCTTCTCCTCGATCTAGTCATCGTCCCACCAACAGGTAAATGAAGTCATGTTCATAATCTATTTTTATAAGCCATGCGGATTCCACGGCTTATAATGATGCTTATGGCGGCGACCGTGGAAGAAAATTTAATGTAAAATGAGGAAGAAAATTTATTGGTGGGGTTCAAATCTAGTGTAAAAAATCTAGAATATTAAGGAATGTGGAAGAAAATTTAATGTAAAAAATCTAGAATGTGGAAGAAAATTAAGGAAAAGCAACGTAAAATAAAGTAAAGGTGCTGTTGTTATTTTGATGTTTTAATATTAATGTTTTTTTATTATAAAAGAAACAACTATTATTTTCTTACAAAAAAATACATATAGTGCATGATTAATAGGCTAAATACTGCTACAAATTGGAAGGTAAAGTTTTTATTTTTAATAAATAAACAGGCCGCAGGCTTGAGACAAGCTTTTATTTTTTGTAAACGAACAAGGCCACAGGCTAATATTATATTTGTAACAGGTAACAGGCTAAGGCCAGTCTGACACGTTTAAATACAGGCTTGACCTGTTAAGATCAAATCTCGGCTCGGCCCGTTAACACCCCTAGTGGTAAGTTATTATTATAATGTATATGTCCCTAGATGTGAGAGCATGGAGACAAGATCTTCCTTTGATAAGTTGGAATGGATAATGACCAAAATGAGGACCGAAACAATGAAAATTAATGTGATCCAACTACTTTTAAAGAAGCTATAAATCATCAAAAATGTTGAGACGCAATGGATATTGAAATTGAAGCAATTGAAAAATAACACTTGGAAATTAATAAGAGTAGTGCTTAGACTGTTGTATTAAATTGTTTTGCATCAAGTTCAGTTAGGCACTTGTTCTATTTCTAAGCTGATACTCTTGTAACTGAATATGGTTATTCAAATCTAGAATATTCCTGTATATAGGTCTTAGTCTATATGTTTTGTTTGGCTATAATATCTACTATTGTAATTTTTATATCAATATGATTCCGATCTATGATGTACCGACACTTCAAAAAACTTGACATGTCGTGTCTGACACTTCTCGACACTCTTCAATACTTTGACACTTCTGGACACTCTTCAACACTCTGATACTTCCCGGCATTCCAACACGTGTTGTAGAGACTCAAAAGGACAAACAGTTTTTCCATATTTAATATATGATTATTAATAATAATTTTGACATTTTTAAATTGAAAGACATATTGAAATCACTTTTTGAATTATCTCCAAATCACTTTAAATTGGACGATATTGTTTACCGGAGGGAGGTTATATTTATAACATCTTTTCTCTTAAAACGTCCTTCTTTATTGTCAAGAAAAGATAACCCTTAGTCTCCACTCCAACCACCTCAAATATTTTGTACCTTCTCGTTAGGGGTGTTCGCGGTCTGGATTGGATCGGTTTTGGAAGCAAAAATCATCTGATCCAATCCCTTCGGTTTGCTCACATAATCATCCATTCGGTTTGGACTTTTTTTCAAATCCGATCCGATCCAATCCCATTTTTTTCGGTTTGGATTGGATTGGTTTTCGATTTTTTGAAAATCCTAAAATTTGTTTCTTGATTATTGCTCAAATAACATCTTTTGTATATATTGGCTTTGTAATTTTATTTTTTTTAAATACAAAAGTATCAGTAAACGATAATATAGATTTTTTTTTGACAATAAGATATGAAGCTCTACATATATAAAATTTTGTTGATGAGACGTGACTAGATTTTTTCTTGAGTTTAGTTGATAGGTTAATGGGTCTTGAGTTTAGAAATTTTTGGACTATGATGGGGGAAAGACCCAAGTAGGTAGAGGAAAATTAATATATTGGATCGGTTTTCATCTACCAATTCGAAAACCGATCCAATCCAATTAAAATTTGCGATTTTTTTTTGTTTTCAGTTTTTCGGTTTTCGGTTTATTCGGTTTTCGATTTTTCGGTTCGGTTACTGCGGTTTGAATCGGTTTGGATCGGTTGATGAACACCCCTACTTCCCGTGTAGGTTCTTAAGTTAGTTTTAGTCAATAGGATGTCATCCTTGATCTTTATCCTAATTAATATTTATGATGTTAATTATTATATGATTAAATAAATTTAAAATTAATCTTTAAGATAATAATATTTGCATTATTTTCAGTCTTAATTATTATACAATAATTATCATTCATGATGTTATTTAGTAATGCCCTCAACTAAATATTTACTCGAATAATTGAATCTCTAAATGAGATAAATTGATTTTTTTTAAAATAAATATAAGCACTTTAATCAATCAGCCCTTTATATTGTGATTGCAGAAGAAAGTCAAAAACAGTTCAAAACACCAGCGTACAAAACATTGATGGTGATGGTCTCATCATTCATTCTTAACTCTAACCTGCCATTCTCAACATCAATCATGGCTCGAGCAGTAGCCAAGAAAGGTCTTCCCAATAATATAGGCATTTCAGTACCCTCTTCCATGTCTAATACCACAAAATCAGCTGGGAAGATGAACTTCTCCACCTTAACAAGCACATCTTCAATAATACCACTTGGTCTCCTCAAAGATCTATCAGCAAGTTGTAGAGAAACCATAGTGGGTTTTAACTCAGTAATTCCCAGAGATTTGCAAACAGATAATGGCATCAGATTAATACTTGCCCCAAGATCACATAGTGCTCTGCCAACATCAGTGTTACCAATAGCAATTTGAATATTGAAGCTTCCTGGATCACTGAGTTTGGGTGGAAACTTCTTTTGTATGATGGGACTACACTCTTCAGTGAGTGTTACTGTTTGGCACTCCCGCAGCTTATGTTTTCTTGACAACAAGTCCTTCATGAACTTGGCATAGTTTGGCATGTTAGCCAAAGCTTCAGCAAAAGGTATGTTCCATGTAACTTCTTGAAGATATCCAGAAATCTTGAATATTGTTGTTTCTGAGGATCTTTCTTGAACCTTTCTGGATAAGGTGCAATAGCTCTCACATATTCCGGATTCAGCTCAAATTTCTTCTTTTCAGCAATAGTTGGTAGCTCCTCTTCTTTACCTTTTTGAACAGATTTCTCAACATTAGAAGGAATCATCACCTCTTTTTCTGGCTCTTCAACCGCCTTCAGTTTCTCATCAGCTTCCACATTTGTGTGTAGCTTTTCTAGAGCTGCTACCACTTTACCACTTCTACTTGTGATAGCCATACAATCCTCCTTGGAATTAGTAACTGTATTGCTCGGGAAGGTACCTGGAGTTCTGTCAGCCATTTGTTTAGCCAGCTGGCCAATTTGATTCTCCAAATTTCTGATGGAAGCCTGTGTATTCTTGGTATTTGCCCGAGTCTCTTCCATAAACGCATTAGAATGTTGGACCATTTGTCCCACTAGCTTCTCCAAATCAGAAGGTTCCTTAGCTGGAACTGGTGGAGGCTGCAAATAATTATTAGACTTGAAGTCCAGACCAGTTCCCTGCACCCTCCTCTGAAAATTATTACTCCCAAAAGGATAATTCTGATTCCTTGAAATATTTCGTGGCAAAGGTCTTTGCTCATACCAAATACCATTCACTTGCACCTATTAAGGAGGATCATCAGACAATAAGGTAGGACATTCATTAGATTCATGGCCTTCCTTGCAGTATTCACAAATAACTGAAGCAGCTTTAGCTTGGACGCTAGAGAGCTGCATTTTATCAAGCCTTGATGTCAAATTCGCCATCTGTTGTGATAATAATTTATTTTCAGCAAATGTTGAATCATTGTTGTCTAGGTGAAGAATACCTCTCTTAGGCTTAGATGACAACCCTTCATTTTCATTGGCAGCCATTCTTTCAATCAATTCAAGAGTCTCATTTGCTCTCATTGACTTAATGCTACCACCTGCTGCACCATTCAGAACCATCCGGATTTTCGGTTTACAACCGTTGAAGAAGATCCGGACCTGATCACCATTGGTCATGGGGTAATGAGGACACCTCCTCATTAGATCTTTGAACCGGTTCCAGGCTGCACACATAGTTTCACCCTCATCTTGAGTGAAATTGGTGATATCATTCACCATTTGATTGTATCTTTCCATCGAGAAAAACTTCGCAAAGAACTTGTTTGATAAATTCTCCCATGAGGGAATACTTCTCGCAGGCTACCTCTCCAACCAATTCAAAGCTTTTCCTTTAAGAGCAAAAGGAAACAGTCTCAGCCGGACTGCATCATTGGACACTTGAGGATGTTTAGTCGAGTCACAGATCATCAGGAATCTGTTTACGAACCTATGAGGGTCTTCAACATCCTCTCCACCAAACTGAGCTCTCTCCACCAGTCGAATATTATCAGACTTGAGCTCCCAATTATTGTTGCCAACTTCAGGATGGACAATACTTGAATTGGGCATGTTAAATAGTGGTTTCAGAATAGTGTCCATGAGTGGATTGTCTTCTCCATTGTTCCCTGCCATGATGTGTGTTTCTTCAGACAGAATTTCTGACTCATCGAATTCATGTTTCTTCCGAGCAAATTTCCTGGTTCTCTTTTCAGTTTTTGTAATCTCCAAATCAAGTGGAAATTCTGGCTCTTTATCTCGCATACAACTCAGAAAAGAGATTAGTAGCACTGTTCAAGAAACACAAAGAAATCAAAAAGTAAAAATAAAATAAAAATCCAATCTTAAAAATCAAAATTAATTGATAAAAGATACGCCAATCCCCGGCAACGGCGCCAAAAACTTGATGCTTCCCGGCAAGTATACCGATCGCACAAGTAATATAATGATAAGTAAAGTATCGTCTCCACAGGGATTGTGATCGTATATCAAATAATAATTCTTTTCAAGAATGGATGAGTTCAAATGGTTTTGACAAATATTGTCGATTGGTTTGAAATTGAGAACTGAAATAAAGACTTATTTTTGTAATTTTTATATTGCGAAAAAGAACAATAAAATAAGAATTAATGTTTTGAAAATATGAGAAAATCATTGTAGCTAGAGCGCACTCACCTTATGATCCTCGCTTCTTACTTTGGATTGATTTACAATATTCATTTATAAAATTACTCGGATAAATTATTATCTAAAATAATTAGTTAAATCTCAATCTCTTGGCAATTTAACCCTTTAATCTCAATTGGAATCCTAATCCCTTAGCAACCCCTTATGAAAATTAAGCGATGAACTCAATAATTTAGGTATCCGCAATTCAATACACATCTATTCCTAGCATGCATACGAACCGTTATCCTACCCCCTTTTAGGATGAAAACCCCAATATTCCTATCTAGGGTTCTAACCCTCAGACTATTATCAACTATTAGAGTGACCAATTCTAATAGAGAAAATACAAAATACGAACAAGGTAGAGATAAAGATAATTATATAAACGAGCAATTATAAATCAATCCGCGTAACAAGGGTTCACATAGGGTTTGTGACCCTAACTACAATAAAAAGTAAACTAGCCAAACATAATCATGGCTAAAAATCTAATATTCAATGAAAGCATAAAATTAGAAAGAAGGTAGAAGAAGAACTTGATCCCAGGAATCCTCTCTGAGCACCGTCGTCGTCTCTCTTCAGAAGAATAAGTCTGAATACCTAATTCTGTCATAGGGATCCTATTTATAATCCTCTTTTCTTTCTTCCAAAAATACCCTTCGCGCAGCATGGAGTAACTTTCCCACAAACCGGCGCCAGTTGGCGCCGGTGTGAAAAAGTCGGACACATTTTCTCGGAAACTGGCGCCAGTTGGCGCAACTTGGCGCCACTTCTCTGGCCAACGTCTGCTGCACTTCGGCGCTGGTTGGCGCCGATTCTTCTTGATTTGGGCGCTAGTTGGCGCCATTCTTCTTTGTACATGGCACCACTTTGCTTCATTTTGGTGCCAGTCAGCGCCATTCTTCTGGAATTTGTAGTGTGCTGCCACTGTGGCGCCAAGTTGCGCCATTTCTTTGGAATTTGTAGTGTGTTGCACCCGTGTGGAATTTGTGTTAACAAGCTTCTTATAATTTTAACTTCTTTTTCCTGTAAAAACACAACCAATAGGTGAGAAATATTATTGAAAAGAAAGAATCAATATAATTAGCAAATATGTATTTAAGTTGCTCTTTTATGACTCAATTCTTATCAATTTTAAGACAGAAAATCACACTTGCCAGAGGCACATCAGTAGCCTTTAGGGCCGTACTCTGAGGACAAGGTGACCGGAGAGGTTGAATATGCACCTAAACCGGTAAAAATAGGATAAACTCGGCGGGTTTGACTAAAACCGGGAGTCCCGCGACTCGGGCTAAACTGCACCAAACTTAGCCAAACACGGAGATCAAGTTTTCTGTTTGCTTATTCCTCAACTGGTTTATAAATGGTATGTTTTGTCATACACTAGTCGATGTAGGACTTAGACGCAATATGTAATTAGATATGCGAGAGCCATTTCTTTTCTTCTTCTCTCAACAATCTGCCATAGCTTGAAACCTTGAACTCCTCCTCCCCTTTTTTTATTAAGATTGAGGATGGATTTGGATTTATATTTCATCTTCCTCACCAAATCACACGGTCTGTCTACAACGATGAGTTGTTCCATACCCAAAGACCTTTTCTTGAATAGCTCAAAACCAACACCGAATGATGAGCCACAATGGCCCTGCCACTCTCGCTATAGATTACAATAATACAGGGTGCTTGATAGACATTCGATCGTAGACATACTGTACTGCATGAACAATAGCTGCAACATACTCTTGGAGACCATACCCAACAAAGACATCAGAGTCAATCAATTTCGAACCGTCATAGTCTATGCCCAAACCACCTCCAATATAGATAACTCCCATATGAACCGTCAAGGAGTGCATTCTCAGTGGTCTTCTCTCCTTCGATGGCCTCAAGGTAACCCTCCACCTTTACAAATCAAATCAAATCAAAATCAAAACGGTAACTTGTATGATTTGTTCATGTCTGTGTTGTTCATGTTCTTCACATGGACAAGAATGACTATTACGGAGGAGAGTCCACCACGCTCAATCTTGTTCAGGTCTTTTATTTCTTTCTCTATTTTTTTTTGTTTTATTATTTATTTATTTGTACTTTTGAGATTTGAAATTATGATTTCTATTCTTCAGCTTTGGAAGAGATTCATGGGAGATGAGAAGCCTCCTCCACATTATAGCAAGGACTATAAAGTTGATATGAATCTAAGGTTATTCATTCCTTTTTTTCCCCAATCATACAACTCAATTTCCCCCCCTTATTTTTTAAAGCTCATTATAATTATTGATAGTTTTCTCCTTTGAATTTTTAATATAAGTAATATATTTATATTTTTTTAATATGTAAACAGTATATCTGGTTGAATCAGTGACCCAGTACCTCTACCGAGTCAATGACCGGTTCGAGTTTTAAAACACTGGGTTATACTTATATATATATATATATTGAGTTGAGGGCATTACCAATTAAGATCATGAATGATAATTATTGTATAATAATTAAGACTGAAAATAATGTAAATATTATTATCTTAAAGATTAATTTTAAATTTTTTTAATCATATAATAATTAACATCATAAGTATTAGGATAAAGACCAATGATAACATGCTATTGACTAAAACTAACTTGAGAACCTACACAAGAAGGTACAAAATATTTGAGGTAGTTGGAGTGGATAAAGACTAATGGTTACCTTTTGTAAAGAGGGAGGTTATATTTATAATTTTTTTCTTACAATCAAATTTTAATTATTGATTTTTGTTAATCTAACTGTTATAATTTATTGGGTCATATTAATTAATTATTAATTTTCAATAAATTATAACTGTCTGATTGACAGAAATCAGCGGTCAAGATTTAGTTGTAAGAT